TGCACACAATCGAAAATTTTTTGCTACATAAATTGAAAAGTATTCAACTATCTGATGTTAGATATATTAAAATTTTTTCACAATTACTATAGGCAAAGAAATTAAACTTTAAACATCAAAATCAAATATCAAATTACGTAATTGCTTACCATATTCTTAGAAAGTTTTCGATTTGTTACAATACATATAAGAAAATATAAAAAAAGTAAAAATAGACACGTCTTTTTATAATGCTCATTAGAAGCATTGATTTGGAAATAACAAACTGTTTCAAAGAGATTACCTCACCACCTGCCATCCATTAAACTATTAAATAAAAATCCCACTCACCCATCTAGTTCAAACAAAATACTCAATGTGGAAACTTATCATCATCCTCTTCTTCATCCTTAAGGTTTATATCATCCTTTGTTTTGTTATTAGCTTTTTTTCTTCTGACACTGTGGGATCATCAACTTCAAACACGACAGCCCCTCTGGAATATTTATTAAGGTTTGTGCATTTTTGAAAAGAATAAACATCAGTGGTTTTTTTTTGAAAGAGTTCATGAAGGAGAACAAAAAAATGTGTTGCAGCCAAATATTTTTGTAAAAATAAGAAACGTAATAGTGATTAGCAGAGGACAATTAAAATGCTAAACATGAATAACCGAACAAATGCCATAAATAAGTTCAATAGTAGAATAACTAAATTAATTTTTCCAATAATTAAAAAAAAGAATTTTCATGCGTTGTATATCGTTTACATATTTCTTATAAAAATAGATATAACAGACAAGTAATAAATTGCATACTGCTATGTTCAATTTGTCAATATATATGCATAGAATGTTGGTATTGATGTAGACTGACGTTTCGACAACCTTAGCATTTGTCATCTTGAGAGTCAAGGAGAAGTAAACCGTTTACCGACATATTGAAACCATTTACAACCAAATCAGACACAACGTACAAACCACTGAAACCTTCATTAAAAACTGAACACTAGACAAAATACCCGACAACTATATAGTGGTGTCTTTAGACGTGAAATCACTGTTCATCTGTATTCCAATTTACTTGGCAATAATTTGTACAAAAACACTCATTACAAACACCATGCACGTACTTCCACTACCTACAGAAGACATTATGGCATTACTGAAGCTCTGCCTCACCTCGACTTACTTCCGGTACATTTGTACACGCTACAAACAATTCCACAGAACAGGAATTGGCTCGCCCGTTTCTGTTGTATTTGCCAAAATTGTCGTGCAAACTATTGAAGAACGGGCTCTTGCGACTACATAACATGCCCTACCTTTTTGGTTCCACTTCGTAGATGGCACAATCACAGCATTACATGCAGAGGACATTGATGACCTTCACACTCACATCAATAAACAGAACAGCCACATACAATTTACCAAAGATGTTGAAGAAAACGTAACTCTTTCTTATAAATCATCACAACACTACGACAAGTACTAACAAACATCAAGAACAAAAAACAGCCAAACGAACGACAAGGATCAGTTTACAAAATAAATTGCTCTGACTGCAACACTTCCTATTTCGGGGAGACTGGCAGGAACTTAATCATAAGACACAAACGAGCTATAAAAAAAAGACAAAACTAATAACATTGCCGAACATCACCGACCGACAAAACACAACATTGACTGGGACTCGGCAAAATGTATTGTTACAGAACTGACTATAGACAATGGCTTACATTAGAAAGTTGGTATACTAACGTAGACAAAACCCACTGAACTCATTCACAATACAAACAATCAAGCAATTAACACATTACTTGAAACTAATCCACGATGACAATACACAATTGAAACCCTCACACCCACACAATTCCTGTACATACAATGCGATGACGTAAGAAGCAGATAAGAAATACGGCTAACCTGCCGTTTACACCTCTATTGACGCTGAAGATGAATACCGCTAACGTTGTCGAAACGTCAGTCTACATCAACACCAACAGTCCTTCTTGAGACTCTAGTAACCTATACAATCTTCATCCACAAACATGTTACGATAATCCTGGGTTCAAACCATTTCAATAGGGGGTTCGGGGGCATCCTCCCCTGGAAAATTTTGAAGCCTAGAGTCCCAGAAATACGATTTCCAGCGTTTTGGAATAGCTTTACAACTAATTTTCACAGTGAATAAAATCGCCGTTTTTCAGTTTTTCTCAAAAAATATAAAGGACAAACCATTGAAATGAATATAACTGTAACGCTAGCTGTCCCTGTGACATTGAAGCCGCTTCTCCCTAGTCATTTCACGCAAAGAAGCACACGGTCAAAAAAATTTTAAATTATAAAACACATTAAAACTTTCAAGAAAAACTTCACTTTAGAAAAATATAGATCATTTTTAAAGATTATTAGCCAAGGTTAAATATTTTTGATTCTATAATTATTTAACGTTTGGAAATGCTGAAAGAAAGGTCTATTTTATTGACAAAAAAACCCTACAGAACAACACAATAGAAACTCCGTAAAAAGTAAACATTTTAATAATCTAAAAGTTTCGACAAACACGTTTCGTTGTTTTTATTTAGAGATATGAATACATACAACAGGTAAAAATTATACACATGAAAAAAATTCTGTCTGACATTTCTGCACCAACGGCGTATTACAGCAGCCGATTGCGTTTTCTGATATTTCTACAGTAACGTAGCCATTACACATTCAGCAAATTTCAAACGTGTATTGCATTCAGCAAACTTGTTGATTACTCTTCCTATGTCAAGAATAATTTCTGGGTGAATTAGCATTAAAGCCAGGCCATTTAAACGTTTTTCTATCATAGTGCTTATTTGGTAGGTTTTTAGATTCCTCACTCCTCAGTGCTCAAATTGATCTATTACATTCACATGAGGAGATTGTTAGTGTACCTAAAATGCGAAGAATAATTTGAATATTTTCAAATCCTGGAAATTTTACATGCTTCATTGTTTTCACGATGGTTTCTAGATAAGGCCCACTGTGTGTTTCCCAGTATAAATGTTATTGCCTTAATTCAGCATCTAAACCAAAGGGGTTGTGCAAGTCATCTTGAATAGGATTTTGCAACAATTTCATCAATTCTCCCCAATCAATGCCTTTGTCGTACAGTGTCCCCATATTGAGTGGAACAATAAAGATAATTCTTGACACACATTAACACTGTATAAGTTAAACCTAGTGTTTAAAGATGTTTGAAGTTGTTCTAATAAAGGAATAGTGATTGTTCAGTTATAATGCTTTTTGGAAGAATGACTGGGGGGATGGCTATATTGCATGTTCTTTGGCATTGCTTGATGTAATTCAGTCAACAATGATATAAACAAAAAAATGCAATAGAAAATTGGGGACCTAGTATTTATAAGAATCGTTAACGCGTATTCCTCACTGGAAACTTATCAATTACATCCTCCACGTCAGGAACAAATTCATAATGGATCCGCATTAGATCCAACCCATTTAAACGGTCTTCGACCATCGTACTTCTTTGACATATCTGTAGATTTCGCAGTTTTGATATGGAGCGTTCACATACACAAACGTAATAGAAAAAGTGCCTAAAATGCGAAGAACTGTTTTAATATTGTTAAATCCTGCAAAGTAAACACATTTCAATGCAGAAACAATGGTATTTGGAAATGTCCCAATGTATGATTCCCAGTAAAGAAAAGTTGTCTTAATTCCACATCCAAAAGTTTAGTTTAGTTAAACTTTTTATAGCATTTGGCATTGATAATAATTCATTACTTTATTTTTTTATATTAAAAGAAATTTTTCATTCTAAAATGCAGCAAATGTGTGCTGCTTGCACTGTTAAAAAAATTATAAATTAAAAGGAATATCTGTTTATCTTAGGGTGTTCTTGTCGTCTTTTTACGTTGTTGTTTTGAAGCTCGTCCATCTTCCTTCTTCTTGAAGAACATTTTTGATTTTACACAACTCAACTGGTTTATTTACGTTTACTTTTTTCCAAGTTATTTTTAGTTTTAATTTTAAGTGAAGATATTTTATCTTCTTTGTAAACGTTTTTCATCGATTAATGAAAGTCTTTTGTAAAAACCGACCTATATATTACTATATTTCAATAGTTTTTAACATATAAACTTTTGTTTGAAATTTTACAGTAATTTTTGTATAAATTGGGAAGGAAACAAAAATATATTTACTGCTTTCTCATTATGACTCAAAGACTATGTTTCATTTGTATGAAAGTGGAGAATATGTGGAGTGGAAGGCGTAAACATATTTCGAAAGCCCTTAAAAGTCGCCTAAAATCTTTGAAAACTAAAAAACATATGATAATTCTTTTCTATTATTATATGTTATTATTAATCTCTTTCCCATTTCTAGGATTATAAATGCCTTGTATATCTTAATGTGCTTACAACGTCTTTCGTGACTTTTGTTTTACAGCTTTTGAATTTTCCTGGCTAGTGTGATCGTAATGAGTTTTACAGTTTAATTTCTAAGGCCTTCATTTTATTTGTTTTTTTTGTGAATTTTTTGTTAATGAAGGTTGTCATAAAAATGTATTTTTTAAATAAAATGCAGTATAGTCTTAAAAGTATGCAGAAATATATTTTTTATGATGATCGAAAGCGAGGAATTAAGATAAATTTGATAAAAATTTGCAATGCCTTGTTTTCATATATGTATATCAGCACATTCTGTGTCCCAATTGCAGGAGTCACCATTTTACTATGGTGATATCCAGGATGGCACATTGTTATCAATTTATATATTGCGTTTGCTGCGCATACGCAGTTTAAGCACTCTTGGACATTGAGTTTTATAAGACCTGGAGAGGAAACGTCAACAAAATCATTATAAATTGTTAGCGCGGCCGCGTGGTCGAAAACATGGCGAATTTTTGTGGTCAAAGTCAACGGAGAGACGCGGGCTCATGAAATAAAAATTTTGTCGCCCACCCTGATTTGACCACCACGATTGGGAGTATAGAAAAAATCAAAACTATTTTCCTAACATAAACACTTTTTCAAAATTATATTTATTAAACAATCTGCAAGCTTCCGTTGTTTGCGGATGCTGAAATAGCGACAGAAAAGGAAACATTTCATGACTCCGGTAAGTAGCACAGTTGTAGTTTTACTATTTTGTTTTTGAAACGATACTTGAGTGTTTCTACTAATAAGTTTTAATTTAGAGTTATTTTGGTCCAGTCTTGTTTGTTCTTCACTTTATCGCTCGCCAGACGTGGCAAAGCTGCCAATTTTTATCGTGTTTTGCATCCATCTTGTATCATGATCAAGCTAAACTCTCCTGATTTGAATTGAGTTTACCTCCCAAAAATGGGGCAGAATTTGTTCATATTTATTTTTAAAGATGAAGAGAAAGTTTACAACAGAGTTGTGTTGAAATTGAGTGCAGTGCCATGCAAAGTTAATGAGAACTATGGTATATGCCGTATAATAAAAATAACTATTAAACTACTTGCCTGCTCAATTTGATTGACCGTATAGTGTAGACAATTATCATGGGTTTGGAAAGTTGAATTTATGCAAAAAGTTTTAAAGTACTACTTGGCGTTTCTGTAAATGGAGTATTTATTGTTATGGTAAACATTTTAATACTTCAAAACCAAGAAAAGAAGTGTGTTGAACAATGTGCTAAGATTTGTTTCTACCTTGAAATTTTTGTTCAAAGTAGCTTGTGATTATATAATTATTATGCATGAAAAATTAAACATATTATTGTCTCATCCCAACAAATCCATACTTGGTATGATTCCAGGTGATCCACAAACTCATATCGGATACATTGGTTACAATGAAGTTAAATGTAGAGGAAGCAAACATAGATGGCAAAGAAATTCTTTGTGTCTTATGAAGAATTAGTATAAATCAATAGAAAGAATTCTTTAAACATATTGTAAACAAATTTAAATTGCTCGTGGTCAAGCAACCTAGTCAAAGAAGCAAATTCTGTCTTCAACATGTGACCTTTCCAATTATGTTTAGTTTCTTTGTACAAAATACTATTTTTTAGAAACTTGATTTGTAAGTCTTTCATTAATATTTTTTATCAAGAGATAAAAGAATCAAATTCAAAAGCTTGATGGAAAATACAAAGATTTATCAAGTTGTTTATCATTTAATTCCCAATTATTACTTTGTACATATAAATAATTAGTATTGGTAGCTGTAAGTTGTTGAAGAAAACAGAAGAGTTGTAGTGCTTGGAAGGGTTAGCATTTTTGAAAAATTATATCTTGTTCTTGACATATATTACACAATTTCAAAAGACTTTAAGTAATACACAATAATATCTATAGAAATTGAAAAATTTCATCGCCTACACTGTCAATTAATTATTTTGCCTTCATGCAGCTATAGACAGAGTGTTTTGTCAAAGAAACCAATGCACTTTAGTTTCCAAGTTTGTAATTTCAATGGAAAATTAACGTAGTTCTGTTCAGTAATAGACCGAAGGTTTTGCCAAGCAGTTTACAAAATACAAATTTCCAAACAGTATCATGGTGTTTTGAATTTTTTTCTTTTTTGTAGCTCTACTAGTTCAACATATTTTCTTTATGAGTTTTCAGTGGATTTATGAAGTAATGACAATACACTTATGAACTTTTCCATGGTAAATTTTTGGTTGACTTATGTCGTAGGACTGAAGCAAACATTTTCTTGCTTCCTTAGGAGCATTTTTACGCAGAGTTATCCATTTGAAGCAAGAAAAATAGTTTCACCAAACTGTTTAAAAACAGTCAAACACACAGAAGCATAAAATAATGTATAAGTTTGACGAGATTGACAGGTCCACTAAAGAATCCCGTTTGACTTTCACTTTTAAAAGTTTAAAATGTCACAAAATAACTTAAATGTTACAGGCAAAATATGCGTTTCTCTTCCATCGATTTTTTTTATTTTGATGTGTATGTACTGTGTTTTCACGCAATGCTGAAGCATTGTTTTCACATGGTATGCTGTCGGTATCGTAATTGTTTTTTTTTCTCACTTGTTATCGTTCATATAAACAGTATTGGAAATCAGAAGAGAGTAAATATTGAAAAAAATTGTTGAAGTGGAAGTTTTGACCACCATAATCCGACATCACCACCATGTTTTTGACCACGGGGTCCAGGCCCCTTTTCCCCTCCAGGTCTTATAGTACTCAATGCTCTTGGATTGTGTAGAGAGTCTCGTAATGTGACATTCACTGCTTTCGCGTTATGCAAAGCTCACCTTTATAGGCTTGAGCACTCTAGTGACTCTACAATACAATCCATACAATGTGTACTCGCACATCCTGCGTCACAAGTGCAGAAGTCACCATTTTATTATATTAACAGCTGGAAGGGTACATTGTAATACAATTTGTATGTATGTATATATTGTTTAACAATAAACGTTTCTCCGGATTTTTTATATTTTTTATTATGCTTTCGACTCGGTGCTTCGGCCCTCTACTGAGGATAGTTCTCATACAAGGCAGAATTTCTAGGTTCAAGAAAGCGTAATACAAGAAATTATTTCTCTCGTGGCCATAAGTACGATTTAGCATTCATTCAATTGATTGTTTGCTGCCCACTTTTTTCATAATGAAAGATTCATGCACGAAGCATAACTATCATTATAATTAAAGTAATAGTAATTAGTAGATATTCTTAAAAAGTGCAACACAAGAATGGTAAAACTAGTACTAAAACTTTGTTCGTATTACTAAAAGAGCGAGATTGTTCATACTTCAGCAGCGTTACTGTGTTACACAGAACTGAGAATGTGTTATGACGACAGCATTCCGTAATTAACCAGAGTAACGAAATTCTTGAATATTCTCTATTGTCATGCGGCATAAATAAATGCTAGTGATTGTCGACAAGTGACCTTGATTTTTCCTTCTGAAAATTCTACAGCACTATTGAACTGAAAATTGAGCTTCCGATCTGTTAAGATCTTACTAGATCTTAAATAATTTCTTATATGCTTAATGTAAGATCTTAGAATTTCCCATAAAAATCTTAATAATATCTTTTGAAGAACTTACAAAATTGTCACGAGATCTTGAAGTTTTATCTTAAGATCTTGAAAAGATCCTAAATAATATCTTATAAATTTATTGTAAGATCTTAAAATTTCTTTTGCAATCTATCTAGGATTTTAAATATCTTAGTAGAAATCTATTGACAAAAGTAGTCAATAAGCTCTTGTGAAGGCTTATAGCTTACACAACACAAGAGTTTGTCATTTTACACAATGTTTCACGTTTTCATTCAACACAAGTGTTGATTCTAATGCTGAAGTCATTGAACTGCTTTACCAATTCGGAACGAGTGCTGGGCACAACATAACGAAACAAGAAAAGACCCTTGAAATATAATTTTAACCGGTATAAGTGTTCTGTTTTCGGTACAATGTCCCAAATGCTACTTCTCTTGACCTTAGAGGACAAATGAATCACATGACCAAACAATTTTTTTGGCACTTAATTTAATTTTGTAAAGGCTAGTCGATTCTTCAGTTCTTCTGGTCCGGTTTGAAATTATAAAGATGAAAAATTAATATTAACAATTTCCATGGAAAGCAATGAAATAGTGTTTCGGAAGAAAGTTGTGTTCAAGATACCAACATGCTAACAAATCCCGAGAAGAAACGAATGACAGTTATATATATTACACAAGCGAATGGAGGTTGACCGTTGGAAAGCCCACTTACTATTCCAAGTGAGGACACTTATGCTTGTGTTTTTTACGTATGTTAACCTTACAAGTGTGGACCAAGAAAATCTTAACTGATTTATTACTTTCATGTAATAAAATGAATGAATATGTGTTGAAATCACCTTTTTAGAAACCCTTAAAGGGGCATTAGTTATTGAGGGTGATATAATAAAAGAATACTAGGAAATAATTGAAGAAAAAAAGAATATGATAGATAACTGAAGTCTGAAGTACAAAAAAGCCAAATATTTATTCTAGTAAAAGAAGCATGTTTCAAAATGACATAAAGCCCAGTTGGCCACCATACATGGTTTCAAGTCTTTATGTTATGTTTACTTTTAATTTTGTAAGTCCTATTGATAATATAGGCTCTAGTTTAGTAGGTTGTAGTTATTGTTTGGCTATTTCAATTTACTTGTAGCTTTAATTTCTCAAACTACAACACTAATGTCTTTGACATGGAATGAAAATGCATTTAAAAAAGTTATTGCTTGTATTTTATAATCTTTTCCTAGATATATTATCTGGTTAATACATTGATGAAAGTTTGGGTTGTGGAAAGACAGTGCTTCCTTTTAAAAAGTGTGATTACAAAGAATTTTGCTTTTTCTAAGACCATATGTAATCTGATTCTTTGACAAGCTTCAGTTATCAGACACAAGATGCCTTATGGTTTAAAAGAAATACAAAGACAAAAGGTAGCAATATGGCATTCAAAATAAATCTTGCCCACAGAACTTTGACTCCTTTAAACCTCAATTCAACAACAAATTTAGAAGCCAACACTAACCCAGTTACAATACCAAAACTGACATCAACACCAGCTGATGATATATGGTGCTAATAGTGGGAGCTTGAGAATATAAGCGCACATAGTTCACAACGATATAATATAAAGAAAAAAGTGGAGTAAGTACTCATTAATTATTATCGATGAATCGTCAATGAATCACTTGCTCTCTTGTAAAAGAAGAAAGATTATCTATGTTAAGATTATAAAATTTTATACTTTTTCTACTAATTGAAATTCTTTTTATTTTATTTAAACAGGCATTATTTGTGGCAATAAGAAAGAGCTGTTTGAGGTCATGTCTGTTGATGAGGAGGTTAGGTTGATGTAAGTAAATTAGATCTAATGCAATGTCAATTGTTTCATTTAGTGGAATGTTGGTGAATAAGCTTTGGACGTCCAACGAAACGTGTATTTGTTTTGTGGCAACCAAACACACTTTGTACTAAACGGAATCTTTTACGATCAAATCGACGGAGTTGCAATGGGTTCTCCATTAGCACCATTACTAACCAGTATTTTTATGGGTCACCATGAAAGAAATTGGATAAAACACTACAACGGACCTTACGTACTTTTTTACAGACGCTAAATAGACGATATTTTTTGTATTTTTATCAACGAAAACGATGCCTTATCTTTTTTCAATTACCTGAATCACCAACAAAAGAATATTACATTTACTTTGGACAAAGAACAAAACAAGAAAATACTTTTCGAACAGAACAAGACAAGAAAATACTTTTCGAACAGAACAAGACAAGAAAATACTAGACGTACTTATAACTAAAAACTCTAAATCTAAAACCTTAAAGACATCAATTTTCCATAAGAAAACCTACACCGGACTTTTAATGAATTTTTTTAGCTTCACTCTACAAACCTTCAAGACAGGACTCATAAAAACTCTTCTTCATCGCATTAAAAAAATCAACAACACACAGAGGGGCTACCAACGAGACCTAAACGAATTTATCGGCATTCAGAAACGTAACTCATATCCCTTGCATTTCATCCGCCAAGGAATAAAAACATCTAACAGCGACACTAACTCCAAAACAATTAACAATGAACAAGACCACACACAAGCCAAACCCCAAATCCATTACTTCAAGCTACCTTACATTGGCCACTACTTACAAATCACAAAACGAAAACTACATAACTTGGTCAGACATTACTGCACACACTTAGACATAAAACTAGTATTCTCTTCTTTTAAAATCAAAAACTTCTTCCGCTTCAAAGACCCCATCCCTTTCCTCTTAAAATCGAATGTGCTTACGAATTCTCTTGTGCGGGATTGAATTCTCTCTACATTGCCGAAACCAGCCGCCACCTCTCCACACGGGTTAAAGAGCATATCGCTTCCGATAAAAAC